GCTTTCTTTCATCTTTTTTCATTCTGCTTGATTATCTTTCATCCTTCTCTTAAACCACAATTTCTTATCACAGCAGTCAGAACTTATGGCAGAGATAGTCAGTGTTACCTAGGTCTTAATTGCTCCTTCTTTACCATAATGGAAAATTGCTTTATCAGACACTTATGATATAAATATTAAAGTAGTTTTCAGAAACACTTTATTTTATACTGAAGTAGTCTGTAGTTATAGGCAATGATGTGTTTTTTTTTTTTTCCCCTAAATTTTATTTATTTTGTTCTTGGGAATATACACAGCAAAACATACACCAATTCAGCAATTTCTACATGAACAATTTAGTAACATTGATTACATTCTTCGAGTTGTGCAGCCATTCTCACCGTCCTTTTCTGAGTTGTTCCTCCCTCATTAACATAAACCCACAGCCCCCTGAGGTTCCTGTCTAATCTTTCTAGTTGCTGTTTTAAATTTGATCTCGGATAGATAGTTCTTAAAAGAACATAATGCTCTAGGTAGGCCTTTTTTACTAGTGTAAGCTAAACTGTTGTTTGGTTTTAAGATGACTCAGGGGATATTTCTGGTTTAAAGATTGTCTGAGGGCAATGGTTCCAGGGGTTCATCCAGCCTTCTTGGCTCCAGAAAGTCTAGAGTCCATAAGAATTTTTTTTTTTTTAATTGTGCTTTAGGTGAAAGTCTATAGCTCAAGTCAATTTCTCATACAAAAATCCATACACACATTGTTATGTGACACTAGTTGTTGTCCTCGCAATGTGACAGCACATTCCCCCCTTCCACCTCGGCTTTTCCGTCTCCATCCAACCAGCTCCTGTCCCTTCCTGCATTTCATCCTGCCTCTGGACAGGAGCCGCCCATTTGGTCTCGCGTATCTGCTTGAACTAAGAAGCACTTTCTTCACTAGTATTATTTTATGTTTTATAGTCCAGTCTAATCTTTGCCTGAAGAGTGGGCTTCGGGAATGGTTTTAGTTCTGGGTTAACAGAGCGTCTGACCATTAAGTCTGGTCTTTTTACTAGAATTTGAGTTCTGTTCCACACTTTTATCCCACTTTGTCAGGGATAGAGTCTGTAAGAATTGGGAATTCTGTTCTGCATTTTCCCCCTTTTGATCAGGATTCTTCTGTGGAACCTTTGATCCAAATGTTCAGTAATGGTAGCTGGGCAGCATCCAGTTCTTCTGGTCTCACGGCAAAGGAGGCAGTGAGGAGGTAATTAGCCACATATTCCATGTCCTCCTCCTATTCCTGACTTTCTTTCTTTCTCTGTCACTCCATGGGGATAGAGACTAGTTGTTATGCCTTGGATGTCTGCTTGCAAGCTTTTAAGACCCCAGGCACTACACAATGAACTAGGAGGTAGAACAGGAGCACTAAACACGTTATTAGGCCAGTTAACTGGGATGTCCTATGAAACCATGACCCTAAACCTCCAAACCAAAGAACCAGATCCCATGAAGTGTTCTCAAGAGAAAGAATTTATGTCAGGAAAGAGAAGGGTTTTTTTTGGAAAAGGAAGCAGATATTTAAAGTAATAACACACAACTAATCTTTGTATTTTTCTTATCTTCTGCAAAACTTAATGAAGTAATATGAGTCTTGGGATTTGAGCTTTAAAATATAAAAAGCTTTTGTTTTCTGTAATTTGGAAGTGAATTCTTAGGGGAAATAAAAGCTTGGCCAGTAAATTCCGATATGAGAATTCTTTTTATGACTACATTTTTATCTTTTCTGTATTACATGTGGAAATTGTTAGTGGAAAAATTGTTAACAGTTTTTTAATGTGTTGTAATTATTTAATAGATGTGCTGTTCTTTATGATGAATTATAAACCACATCCATGATGAAAAACAGAATTTCCAGACATGAAACTTCAGGATCTTATATTTTAATTGTTCTTGTCTTGTAATAAGGCAGTAAAAATAAAAATAGCCAGTCCAGCAACTCACCTGATACTATAGGGTTTGCTTTACTTAGATGTTTTAGGCATTTTTCTTTTTCTATCTTTAAAGCTCGTGTTATTATTGAAAGAGCTACTAGAACTTGTTTATTTTGAGGAATCTTTACAAGGTTTGACATTTCCTTATTATAATAGCTTATATTTTGTGTGGATATATTGAATGTTACAGCTAAGTTGTTAGTTGCCATTGAGTCTGACTCATTGTGATCCTGTGTGTGCAGAGTAGAACTGCTTCATAGGGTTTTCAAGGCTGTGATGTTTGGGAAGCAGATTGCCAGGCCTGTCTTCAGCAGCACCTCTGGGTGGGTTCCAACTGCCAATCGACAGGAAAAATCCTAGTGCAGAGGCAGATAAATCCTTTTGTTCTTTCACATTCTCAAAGGTTAATCATAAATGGAATTTTAATAAATCCTCTATACAATCTTATACAAAGAAGGGATCAACTCTAGTTAATAGAAATGGATACGTATTTTAAGAATTTGTTACAGAAAATGAATATTATTGCTTTCAGTTCTTCATCACATTTTATCAAAATGAAATCTTTTATCAGTTTATCTGAGAAAGGAAATTTTTTTTGTTAGGATTAAGAAAAAAAAAAAGGAACCAAACTCGTTGCCGTCGTTGATTCCAACTCATAGCGACCCTATAGGACAGAATAGAACCGCCTCATAGGGTTTCCAGGGAGCGGCTGGTGGATTTGAACTGCTAACCTTTTAGTTAGCAGCCGAGCTCTTTAACTACTGTGCCACCAGTGCTCCGTGTTAGGGTAAAGGAGGTGGGATTTCCTTTTAAAACTTTAGAAAGTCTTCTTTATTGAAAGAATCATATCTTTCACCTTTAGGACATTGTTGTCCAATATTAGTTATTTTGCATGCATGTAACTGTTGGCATATATAGTTTTTGAAAAGGCCTGAGTAATCGATCATTAGTTTTTATTTGCCATCGATTAATGAGACCTGTGTATTAGGAATATTAATCCTCAGAGCAACCCATGATGGTGGGTACCATTATCCTCATTTTACAAATGAGCAAACTGAGACTATGAGAGATTAATTTGCAGTATCATACAAAGACATTTCACAAAACTGTGCTCAGCATCAGTGGGACAAGGAGATAGTCTTTTCTTGAAGAAGGTACTTTTAAGTCACACGAGCATGGATTGGAATGAACAGTTATTTCACAAGAAAGGGAGAGGGCACAAATACTCTGAAAACAGTAATACAGTTTACCACTTTATTGTGAGGTGCCTGTTCAAGGATCTTGTCATTTTAAGTTGTCTTGATTTTTTCTTAACTGATTTCTAGAGTTTTGTCCCCTCACCCCCTTTTTTAAGTAAAATCTGGATAATAGCCCTTGTTTATAAATTGTTACTTATATGTATTACAAATATCTTCTCCCATTCTGTGGCCTACGTTTTTCTCTCTTAATTGTGTCTTTTGTATAAAAAAAAAATTTGGAATTTTAATGTCCAGTTTATCAGTATTTTTCTTTTATGACTGTGCTTTTTGTTTCTTTCGTTTAAGACATCTTTCCTCACCCCAAGATTATGAAGACATCTTCTAGAGTCTTTATGGTTTTGTCTTTCACATTTTGATTTACAGTCCACCTACAATTAGTGTTTAGTTGACATTTTAGCATATTCCTGCACATCTAGAAAAGAGTTAAAGTGATTTCTAAGTGGTTTTAAAAATTAGATTAACTAGATTTGCAGATACAAACATATCGACGTTACATTCACTTATGTGTAGAAAATAATTCTATTAGTAGCACATATTTTACCAAAGCCCTCATAAAACACACGTTGAGTACATTTAAATTCTTGCTCCATTTAAAACTGCAAAAATTCACCTTCCCACATCTGTAGGTAATCAGTGAACTACAAAGTCTTTCTGTTGGCTACCAATATCTACAGTTCATACACTACCAGGAAATCCTGTGCTTTACAGTGAAACCTTAATCATGGTCTTTCTGGGAGTTGGGATCTTCAGTTTTCTTTTATCCTAGGTGTTTATTTCATTCCTTCCTCTTGTCACAATATGTCTCTGTAAACTTCTAGTGAAAGATTCAAAGGGAATGATTTCTGGATGTTTAATACAGGAATTGTTTAAATAATTGTATTTCTATTATTCAGACACGTTGGTGGTTTGTCTTTCTAGAGCAAAGTCTGAAGTTGTTCCCTATAGAAGTAGTGCTTAAACCTAAGCATTAAACATCTGTTTTAACACTGTTGTTATTCTAGTAATTGTAGAATAGTTTGGGGATTGTTTTATCATCCATAGACCAAAATATTCGTTCTTTAAAGTTGACCAAGCTAAACAAATAGTACTATTTGAAATAGGTTGTTTAACTTTGTACATGATATTTATTGTCCTTCCTAAATGTAAACTCTTTAACCTTGATCGTGTGGTTACAGTGAAAAAGGTTGGACTGTCTTTTAGCACTGACAGTTCAGATTTGGAATTAGGTCAGAATTCTTACCTGAGGGGCGGGAGGAGCACATTACTTAAACAGCAGTTGGTTAAGAAATAGTACACATTAACGATCATTTTTCGGATTAGTGGATGAAATGTCACTGATTATAAAGGATTTGACAAATAGTGAAATAAATTGTCCCTGTGCTCTGCTTAAAAAAATACTTTGGTATTAAAAACTCAGGATTTTTAGGGAGTGCTCCACAAATTATTAGCATGTAAATAGATACTGCAGAATTTATAAGGGGCTCTGGTACTTCAGACATAAAACCTTGGAGGTCTGAGTTTGATCAAAAATGGTTGTAGCATTTTGCCCCCATTTCTGTGATGACGATTCTGTTTTGTTTGTTTTTTTATAACTAGCAATTATGTGGATTGAGCAGAATTTTTCCTTACTATAAAGTTGACTTCTAATTGTTAGATTTTGCAGTTCTTGAGTACTTTTCCTTAAATGTCTCAATATTCAGATGAAGTTACTAGTTTTTCATAGTTTTAGTATTAAATATGGACCATTATCTAAAACTTGTTTTAACTGAGCATTGCTTTTGCCTTTCAGCGGGGATCTGATGAGCTTCTTTCTTCTGGCATCATTAACGGACCTTTTACCATGAACAATTCTACTTCTGCTCCAGGTGTGTATGGTGAGTTTCAATTTTTTCAAAATTCAAAATATTTCTTTCCTTGGGTTTCAGATTTTTTTTTAGCGGTGCTCTTATATGGCTCATTTTATAAACATTTGTTGAAGTGCCACTCTTTATAACAAAATCTAAAATTTGTTGCAGTACAGTACTATACTGTTCATGTAGATGAAATCACTAGTTATAGCTCTCTAAGTTTTAAGGGTTAATTTGGATCTAATTTGACAATTCTTTCCCTTTATTGATTGATATTCTTTGTGCTACATAATTATGCTGTAACTGGTATCACTAAGTCGGCGATCCAGAACTATTAAGTAAAAAGGGCTAGATTTAAAACTTGTGTTGAATGATGATGGATTTATTAGTATTAAAACTGTAAAACCACTTGATTTTTAAAAAATTGAGATATAATTTACACACACCATTAGTAATCACATGATTTTAAAATAAATGCTCTTGAAATTGGGGGCTGGAAGAAATCCTAGAAATGATCTATTCTTTCAGATACTATCATATTTGAGCGTGATAGAATGTAAGGAGCCCTAAGGATCAGCAGCAGTGGGTCATTCAATCTCTCTGGGTACCATTTCTCTTATCTGTTCTGCCTAACCCATGGGGTTATATAAGAATCAGATGTTGGGGTTACATTTTTAAGTGCTAAAAAAAAGGTTTATTATTGTTACTCTTGTTTTACTAATATAATGCTGAGACCTGAGTTTCAAAAATAATAACTATTTATTGAATGTCTTTTAGATTATACTCACTGGGGATAGAATGGTGACAAAGGCAAATAAGAGTCCTTAGCCACACTGAGCTTAAACCTAGTGGCTAATTGTGGTAGCTGTGAAAATGTGCTCTCAAATCTGCAGGGAGTGTAATTGACTAATAGTCCCAGCTGCCACCCCTCTGGATCCACCACAGCGTTTGCACTGAGGCTGTACTCCCCCAGGTTGCTGCTGGTCAGTGATAGAGCATGACAGGGGTGCTAGTGTACGTAGGCACGCTAAAGTCCTCTCATGGATGACTTTGGCTTAAGGACTCCCCATCATCCTTGCTGAAACTTTCTTAGAACTATGCTGCAGTCTGATATTCTTCCTTCCCTGTTCCTCCACCTTATTCTTCACAGACATTTCTCTCAATAAATCTCTTGCACATCTAATCCCATCTTTGTGTTTGCTTCTTGGAGGACTTGAACTTTCACAGTAATACAGAGCAGTAAACAGACAGCCATATAGTGTAAATGCTATAAGAAATGAAGTGCAGGATGGTATGACCGCCAAGGTCAGTAAAGGTGTCTCAGAGAAAATGACATGTAACTTGAAACCTGAAGGGTAAGTAGGAATTAGCCAGGTAAAGGGAATACAGTTCCAAGGAAAGGAAAAAATTACAGAAAGGATGGGAGGTGAAAGAGAACATGTGCATTTAGTAAACATAAAATAGTTCAGTGTTGCTGGATCTTATACTGTGAGGATGGGTGGTAGTGATAAAGCACTTGAGTTTAGTGTTTTGCGACCTGGCTGTTAAGAAATTGGAGCCAAATCTTAGTATGTTGCTAATACCCTCCCTTCCAGACCATGTGGGTTTGCCAAAAGCAAACAGTAGCAACTCTGACAATCTGTACTAAAACAGGAGTAGATTTATCGATCCCAAACCCACCTCCGTCGAGTGGATTCCAACTCATGGTGACCCTATAGGACAGAGTAGAACTGCCACATAGGGTTTCCAAGGCTGTAAATCTTTACGGAAGCAAACTGCCACGTTTCTCCCACAGAGCAGCTGGTGGGTTCGAACCGCCTACCTTTTGGTTAGCAGCTGAGCACTTTAACCACTACGCCACCAGGGCTCCTTGATTTATCAACCAATGAACACTTACTTTGTTGGAAATACTGGAGGGTCTGTAGAGGAGACTCCAGTTTGAGGTTGTTTCAGCAGACTGTCAGGGTTCTACCTTACCACTTTTCTTACTCTTTGCGTCATAGTTTTCTCTTGGATTACAGTCAAGAGCGTTTAGAGTTTAGTTTAGAAAACTGGTGCTTTACGTGAATTTGAAGCACAAGCCTATGGTCTCTGATCTAATTGATCTGAACAGTTCCGTTAGGTGAGATTTGTAGTTTCTGCAGAACCAAAAGTCTATCTTACTCAGAATGTCTCCTAGATTCCTAACTTACTGACTGGTGTGTTGAAGCAGTTGCTCCTTTAGTCCCTGTAAAGTAAGGAGAGTGTGGTTAAGTTGCTTACTTTAAGATGGCAGATCTAGATTGGCATGAGCTGCTGCAATTTGCAGTGTTGCTTGCTGTCACAAATAGGCTTGAGGGAAAACAAGAGAGTTTAAGTATTATTTTTATCTTCCTTGAGATATCACCCCAAATCCTCTTTGAACTGAGAACCAGTTTTATCAGTTAAAAAAGGGTAGAGGTCCTACCTTAAGCATTTAAAATGGAAGATGCTAAGTAGGTGTGCCTGCTGAGGATTGGAAATAAGCCTTGTGAACTACTAAAGAAAACAGTCAAATCATCAACAATGTTACTATCCTAAGGGCAGTGGAGAGCTATTGAAGGGCTTTTTGTGAGCTTATGAACCACATGAAATTGCCAATTTTTAAGGAAAAAAACGTTGAATATCAGCAGTTTCACATGGTTCAACCTAAATATCTAAAAAAGTACATCTGGCTTTATGTACGGTGAATGGGAGGAGTGCAGTACTGGAAAGAAGGAGTAGTTGAGAAGCTATTGCTGTAATCCAAGTAAGAGATAGTATCTTGTACGTTGGCAGTGGAAGTTGTGATGTAGAGAATTGGAGGATTTGAAGAGGGTAAAATTAATGGTGATTGGTGATTAATTAAATGTTTGAATAAGGGATTCCATCAGTCATTTCTCAGTTTTGGACTTGGACTGGGATAATTGCATAGATGGAAGATAGTGCCATTCATTTATATTAGATGATACAGGGATAGCAGCATTGGACAACACAGCAGATTTAGATTTTTGGATATTGAGTTTGAGGTTCCTGTGGAACATCCAAATGGAAATGCCAGATAGGCGGTGGATTCTTCTGGTCTCAATATCATGAGAAAAATTTGGAAGTAAGTGTCTTACACTGCTTAAGTTGACAACTGAACCATGGGAGTGGAGAGTCTCAGAAAAGGTGGGAATTTTATCCAAAAGTATTTGGAATCATGGAAGTTACGGGGATTAGGGGAAAGTGGACCTCATTTCCAGACCCTGAGGGTTACATGTGTTTGGGAGAGTGAATAGCTTCCATGTGACGACTCTCTAGCAGAAGGGGGCCAAGTTAAGCTAAAATGATTAAAGAAAAGTTCAGTGAAGAGAGTAAGAAAGAGTAATTGGTCAACCATGGTACATCTGTAGTTCCAGAGGACTAAGCGGAAAGATTTTGTAGGTAGCGCAGTAGTAGGGAGTTGGTTCAAGGCAAAGGATGAATAGAGTAATATAATCATGAGAGCAAAGCAGTGTATGGCTCACCTGGAGGGCTTGTTAAAGCACAAATTGCTACAGCCACCTCCAGAGTTTCTAATTCAGTAGGTCGGGAGTCTTCAAGGATGGCAATTTGAACCCAGCCTATGATGCTGTGGAAGAAAGGCCTGTGACCAGCTTCCATAAAGATTTGTTGTTGTTAGGTGCCGTTGAGTCGATTCTGACTCATGGAGACCTGATGTATGCAAAGTAAAACTGCTCCATAGGATTTTCAAGGCTGTGACCTTTTGGAAGCAGATCACCAGGCCTGTCTTCCAAGGTGCCTCTTGGTGGGTTTGAACCACCAACCTTTCAACTAATGGTCAAGCATTTAACCATTTGCACCATCCAGAAACTCCTCCACCCAGATTAAATGGCTACTTTTCTAGTCTCCCTTATAGCTAGTTATGGTCATATGATTATGTCCTGGCTGGTGAGATAAAAAGTAGAAGTGTTGTGTGGGACTTATGGGACATCTCTGCATGGGCACACTGTTTTTCCTTTCTTTTATTCTGCTGCCTGCTGGAGTTCCAGCTTCCTTCTTGGATGATGAGGATGAGGGCTGCACCCTAACAGAGCAGAAAGCTGGAGCCTGGGTCACTGGAGACTCTTTACACAAGTGAGAAATTAACTTTTTTTCTTAAGCAACTATTATTTCAAGTATATTGTTATTCTATGCAGCTAAACTTAAAACTTCCATAGGTACTTTTTAGTTTTTGTTGTTAATCTCGAATTGTGTAGTTATTCAATGATGTGTCCTTCAAATAAAGATAACTTCAAGTATATAAATATCCTTCTTATTTTATTTGTTCAATAGTCACTGTAACCTCCAAAAATAAGTTGAGTAATAGTGGTAATTGTGGTTATCCCTGCCTTTTTTTTAAATACAAAACTTTATTTAGAAACTATTTAATGTAGAGAATTAAAAAAAGAAAAAAAAGAAAGTCCAGGTGGAAAATGAGTTCCCAATAAACTGGAATTTTAGAGCAACAAAAATCTAAAAGGCCATGAAAGAGAAATACCTAATACCACTGTCATTTGAACATGGCTAATTACTTGCATTTTTTTTGGCATTGTTAATGACTGAGTCTATATTTTCCTCTGAATTTCACACAGAGCATGCACTATTCAACAATTGTATCATAAAATACCTGCATTCTACACACGTTTTAGGACAAGCTACCACCAGAAACAAATCAGTACAAACCCATCAGGGGCGGAACAATCTCAGTCTCTGTCTTGTTCTTAACTTTAATAAATGTAGCTTTATTTAATCTTTTAATATGATGTTTGCTGTTATGTTTTGGTAAATAATTCATCATACTTTAATAGTTTTCTTCCTGTAGTGTTTATTAACAGTGGCTATACCCACTGCTGTTGACTTGATTCCTGGCTTATAGCAATCCTGTATGGCTATAAAAAACCAAAAACCAAACCAGTTGTTGTTGAGTCGATTCTGACTCATAGCGACCCTATAAGACAGAGTAGTATTACCCCATAGGGTTTCCAAGGAGCGGCTGGTGGATTCGAACTGCCGACCTTTTGGTTAGCAGCCAAATGCTTAACCACTGTGCCATATGTAGATGTGATTAAACATCTTTTGTATTTCTGTTAATTTAATCGTGAAGTTTGGTATCCATTACTTTGGTACAGTGAACTGTTTTAATTACCTAACTTTGAATTATACTTGCATGCCTGGAATAAATCAGGTTGGTCATGGGGTATTATTTTGATATGCTGTATTAGTTGGATATAGGCTAGATTGCTGTAATAGAGACCAAAAATACAGGTTTAAAGAGTTTATTTCTAAGTTCTTCTGAACTTTTGAGTAAGTGGTCAGTGACTTATTTGGCTTGATTGTATTGAGAACCAGGCTTTTCCTGTTTTTTGTACTTCCATCCTCAGCATGTGGCTTCCCCTCAAGATCTAAAATAGTACTCCAGCTCTCTCCATCATGCAGTTAGGAAGTGAAGAGAGGAATGTGGAGGCTGGTGCCGTCTTAGACTATAAAGATAACTATACCCTAAGGTTGAGAGCTGGAGGCTAAGTACCCATGGGGCAAGAGCTACAAGCTGTACTTTCTTCTTCCATCCTGTTAATCAGAACTTAGTCATATTGCCTCAAGAGGCAGGGAGGTTTAAGAAGTAAGTCTTTATTCTGGTATGCCCTCTTAAGTCCTAATTCAAGGAGTTATATTACTTTATGGAGAAGGGGAATAATTTCAGTTGCATGTATGTTCAACCACATATATTCTGTATTCAATTAGCTTATGTTTACTTAGAATATTTGCAACTATATTAATAAAAGTTATTGTCCGTAA